ATCGCTATAAAAAACACAAGACGCGTTTATGGAGCCTGGGTCTGAAATGCCATTGAGTAACGGCCTTTTTATAGTGCTTCAGGGGTCTAGAAGCCACAGGCAGTGAAATAACGCCGTGTTAATCATCTAGGTGGATCTGAGCTTATTTTAACAGAACAAAGGCTATGCCAACGGTCATGATCACCGGAGGGATTGTTTGATCGTGCGAAGTTGACTATGGAGATGTGCACTGTAAGAAAAGTAACCGCGTTTTGTGCAGTGTTTCTCCCGCGCCTGCGAGCAACTTAAAAAAGTGAACAGATCAGAAAATATATTTGTTGTTCTGGCATAACCGTGGATTCTAGGCGTCCACCATTGTGATCGATGCATTTTATTTGAGTAAACTTTCAGACATGGACTAAGTATAGTTTTTTGTTTTAAAAACTTTATTCTGCAGTGCATGAGAAGGTACTGTAGGACAATGATACAGACTTTTTACAGTGTAAGTAGTTAAAGTTTTGCTCCAGACGGTTCGTGTAACTCGAGAGTTCAGGAACCACCAAACGCCTTCTGATTTGTCGCTAATGTCGTGTTGCCACGTGCGGGAGGCGCTGCTTGTTGGGAAGACGGGGCCATCTGAGGTTCTGCCTGTGGAATTTGCATATCTGCTCTTCGCACGTAGCTGGGTGAACGTAGGTCGTGCTGTGAGGCTGAAGATGCCATCCTAGCCGTGTTGTTTGGTCTGATGGCTAGCGGGGGATTAGACTGAGAGTTAGTGATACTCATCGGCAGTTCATCGTGACTGAATTGCAGAAATGGTATTGATTTTAAGCCTGGCTGAATAGTGTCGGCTTTTGTGAACTGCGGGTTTAATCTGGGCACAAAATGTGGTTGTTGGATGCCACTACTCACCGCTACCGGTTGACTGATCATCGGTCTCTGCTGCTGTTGCTGTGACTGCATAGCGATCCTATTGCCTGCAAAAGTGTCATTCGCTGCCGGAAACCAAACGTCTGACTTCGGTGGCATCATCCACGATGAGGTCTGTTTGCTTTGCTGCTGTTGATGTCTCTGCGCCATGCGCTGGTTGTAAAGCTGGATCAGCTGTTCCCTTGAGAGGCCCATTTGTTGAGCGGGTCGCTTTGCCGCCATTGGACGACGCTGTACATTCCACTGCTGTCCGGCTTGTGACGACGGTAGATTCTTAGCGGGTATTGCTAGTGGCAAATATCTTGTGGTAGAGAGTGATTTCGGCAAGGGTTGTACTGTCACTTCTTCAGTTACTCGTCTGAAGTTAACCTCGTTAATGATCATCTTGTGACCCTTTGGCCGCGGCGTGAATCGCCAGAAGCGTTCCATGTTTGGCGTATGGGTGAGCTGCGTAATCGGTGACTCAGTTTCGTCCGCCGGCGTCGTCATCGTGCCAGTAGTTTTTGAGGTAAAGACCACTGTCTTTATTGTTGAAGATGGTATCGTTTGGTTGGTCATCGTCGTAATATTTTCGGTAGCTTTCCTTGTCACCGGTAGCTTTTCTGTCAGTTGTGTTTTAGTTATCACTGCAAGTTCCTGGTAATTGTCCACGTTGCAACACGTCGGTGCTTGTGTGACCTTCACCCTGAAATATAAATTTTTAGTACGCACACATTTCTATCGCATTAAGAGATTTAGGTTATCTGAAATTATGCAAATCAGTTATTGAAAAGTAGCTCATTCAATTATATTAGGCTTCAAAATAAAACAACTACAGTGTTCTGAGGTTGCTTCAAAGAGTGGGAGCTTTCGATACTGCCATTGCATAAATGACATAAACAATAATGATATCGGATTGAAACAGCAAAAATGTACAATGTAAAGAAGAAAAATGTTTTTCTTACTTTACACCGACACTGGAGTAGAGCGAGATAGATGGAGATCTTACCATAGTATTGCACCGCACCCTTGCTTTTAGTCCCCTAGGGGACCATTTATGGACGGCGCGGCTCCATGACATTTAAGCGCTTACACTGCATAGGTCGCATGACCACGTCCCTTAGTGGGTTATATTAGGTTTCCATTACTTTCTGGATTACACTGATTGGACAAACTTATAAAGTCTAAGCTGAATATAAAATAGCTGTAAAATACTTTGTTGAAAAAATTTTTTTATCAGACTGTGCTTTACAACCGATGGCGGAAAGCACTGGCAGCGATGTAATAGACCACGGCGATTCTGTGTGGCAAATGATTAAGAGTTCCACATCGCGTAAACATCAGAGCGATTCTGATGCCGAAAACTCAACTTTCCTGGAAAGCGGAAGCATTGGAAACTTTCCGCACTTTAAGCAAGAAACAGGCTCAAGTAAATTATGAAAGCACTTTTTGATGTTGAGGAGTATGATAATTGTACCTCAGTTTTATTGTAGCAGTGTCAAATGAAGATAGTCTGTCAGTGCTGGCCGAACTGTCCGTCGAGGACTACGTTTCAAATGTAGTCGATGACGGCACTGATCCGAGTCTATTTGAGGACGTCAGTCTCTATGAGGAGATGTTCTCCCCGTACGCACGGTCACAGTTGGCGGAGGGTGAGGAAGTCACCGACAACTCACAAGATATCATTTCGAAAGGCGCACGTGTTTTACAAAAGAAGGTATAAATTTCGAACTATTTTAAATTGCTATGCTCAGCTGGAAATGGTTTAGAACGCTTACTGAAAGAAAGGATGAGAATAAGGTGTAACGTAGACTCTACATATTATAAAAGCTGGTAGCTTCTAATTTACATTTTGACACATAGCGCTACATGCAGCCTCCTGTTGTCCCCGAGTTCGAATCTTTATATCGTATTTCAGCATTTTACATACCCATGAAATGTTTTCTATGATCTGGTTCCGCGCAATAAGCTATGGGTATGTCTAGCGAAATATAAATATGGAATCGATGACCAGTTGTTACACACCATCGAATCATAAGCTGATAGCACGTACTGCGTCGGTGTAAATAGTAATAATTCAAGGCTGATATTCGCTAAGGGCGCATTCTTTTCCCTCTCCTATTTGCGTAGTATATGAATGGCATATTCAGGCACAGCCAAGGTGATGAGTGTATCTGCGTAGGAAGTGTGGATACTGGAAATTTGCTGTTTGCCAAAGACCTTATTTTGACCGTACCTCTGGTCTTCAATGGAAAGGTTCGCATCCGACCTGCGTGTGAACGTGTCTAAAACGG